GCAGGAAATTTAGCCTGGATAAGGATTCTAGGAAGATGTCAGCTCCTTTGTTTGAAAACTCATACCTCCCAGCAATGAAGAGGAACAACGTTTTTTCAAGATCAAAGTCCAGGTGACTAAAACAAAACAAAACAACTTCCAATGAAATAAAGCAACAGCAACAAAATGTACACATGAGTTCTGTTAAAGTACAAAGGGGACTAGGAAAGATAAACATTTACTTCAGTAACCCTGTTTTCTCTATACCCCAGATCCCTAACATCACACGCTAATTTTATTTCGGTGAAGAAAAAAAAGCATACCCATAGAAATGACCTCGAACAAAATCTTGGATCCTGGCCTTGTACATGGCATGGAGATTTTGAAACTCATGTACTGCTGAAAATTTCTTAACATTCAAGCCATTTGGAGTAATTACATCTGGAAAAGCAAAGTAAAATCATCACGAAAAAGCTCTTTTGAGAGAGGGTAGCATTGTAAAAAAAAAACAAAACAGTAGTTTTAAATCTATCAAGTTAGGTGTCTATTAATATTTCTAGTCTCAATCATAGAATTGAAAATTCATAAAAATTTATAATAAATTGCTGACATAGAAAATCAGGACTATCTGACTGAAATAACATTGAGTGATGGGTATTATGAAATACACGAATAGCAAAAATAGTCATTGTTAGAGTTTTCATTTATTGATCACTTGCTGTGTACCAGGCACTGCTCTAAACACCTTGCAAGTAATTCATCTAATCCCTGCAACAACGAATAAAGTCAGGGTGCCTATCTGCATTTTCAGAGGCAGAAACTGAGGCACAGAGTTGTCAATAGAATCTGTTCCAGAGCACACGTGTCAGGAGGACCAGTAGCCTCCGTGCGGTCTGCTTCCACCTGTTGTAGCTTTAACTGTGCTGTGCACTAAACTGCCTCTTGTCATTTTATTTTGGTCAAATGTGTGGGAAGTGTTCTGTCCATATGGAACATTGGCAAAGTAGCCCTTTAGGTTTAATACGTAACTGAGTCTTTCTACCTAGAAGATTTTGTTGCTTGGGCAGGGAGACATTTTTGGTTTTCCAGAATATTGGTGGGTGATAAGAAAGAGAGACACTGCTCAGAGTATATGGTGGAAATCACCTACTGAGTTGAATTCATGGGTTATTGTATTTAGTAGCAGTAAAAACAAAAGGAATAAAAAAATTAGCACATGGCAATTAAGATTTTTGCAGTGGAGATTTGAGCTAGAAGTGTAAGTATGCTATCATTTTGAAGGATATTTTACAGTTAACAAGCTATTCCCTTGAAATGCTTCCACAAAATCAACCCCGGCTTCTTGGTCATTTGTTGTGAAAAAAAAATTTTTGAAGAACTGCTGTTCTTATGATTGTTTACTAAGTAATTGGACATTTGCTACTGATCAGGATAGCGGAAAAACCCCTCTTACAATGTATCTCTTTCTATAACATTTATCTCAGGCTTACTTTGAGCCAGACTTTATTGTAGACCCTATTAATTTAATTTTCATTAAACCATATGAAGTAAGTTCTTTTCACTGTCCCCATTTTGCAGATGAAGAAACTGTGGAGAGGTTATCTGCTAAGGTCAAGTAAGTACAGAGTAACAGAAGTAGGATTTAAAGCCAAGGCAGCCTAGCTCCGGTGTCTACATCCTTATTCTCTATGTCAGGCAGCTGTACTGTCCACAAAGATGGAGAAGGCAAGACTGTATATGAATACCACATTATTATGACTTTAATTCCTCTGGAATTTTCTCACTGCTTCACAATTAAAAATAAAAGATGTGTCTTGACAAATATTGTGTGATATCACTTATATGTGGAATGTAAAATATGACATAAATGAACTCATCCACGAAACAGAAACAGACTCACAGACATAGAGAACAGAATTGTGGTTGCCAAGGGAGTGGAGGGTGGGGGAAGGATGGATTGGGAGTTTGGGATTAGCAGACGCAAACTATTATATATAGAATGGATAAACAACAAGGTCCTACTGTATAGCACAGGGAACTATATTCAATATCCTATAATACACCACAATGGAAAAGACTGTGAAAAAGAATATATATATAGATAGATAGATAGATAGATAGATAGATAGATCTGAATAATTTTGCCATACAGCAGAAACTAACAACAATACTTCAAGAAAATAAGTTAGAAAAAAAAGATGTGTCTTGAAATTAATTGTCTCAGTTTATTAGCCTAAAGAATTAGGTCAATGAGGTCTTTTAACATCTGTATTTCTAGTGAAGAATAACCTCCCACATAGAGGCCTACATGCAGTGGTATCCAGCACTCTAGGAAAAAGAGAGAGAGAGAGAAAGATGTTTTATCAGTAGTATTTGCCCATCTCCATGGCGTAAATACTCCCACCATGACTGATTTCAAGCTACTAATGTGAATACAGAATCGGAAAGAGATACAAAGTAACACCGTTACATACTATTTCCACCAGTACAAATGCAATAGACATAAACAAGAGTATTGATCACGGTAAAATGTAGTAAAATAACTAGGAATTGATGTCTTTTGAGTACTAATTTTGTTTTTAGTATAATATTTAATTGCAAGTTTACATAATTTAATTTTTTTCTTTTATTTTTTTTTTATACAGCAGGTTCTTGCTAGTCATCCATTTTATCCACATCAGTGGATACATGTCAATCCCAATCTCCCAATTCATCCCACCACCACCACCACCCCCCCACCGCTTTCCCCCTTTGGTGTCCATACATTCGTTCTCTACATCTGTGCCTCTATTTCTGCCCTGCAAACCGGTTCATCTGTACCGTTTTTCTAGGTTCCACATATATGCGTTAATATACGATATTTGTTTTTCCCTTTCTCACTTACTTCACTCTGCATGACACTCTTTGGATCCATCCACGTATCTACAGATGACCTAATTTCGTTCCTTTCTATGGCTGAGTAATATTCCATTATATATATATGTACCACATCTCCTTTATCCATTTGTCTGTCAATGGGCATTTAGGTTGTTTCCATGACCTAGCTATTGTAAATAGTGCTGCAATGAACATTGGGGTGCATGTGTCTTTTTGAATTATGGTTTTCTCTGGGTATATGCCCAGTAATGGGATTGCTGGATCATATGGTAATCCTATTTTTTGTTTTCTTAAGGAACCTCCATACTGTTCTCCATAGTGGCTGTATCAACTTACATTCCTACCAACAGTGCAAACTCTTGGGTGTAAGAGAGGCTCAAGGATGTGTTATACAATATGAGGAATATAGCTAATGTTTTGTAATAACTGTAAGTGGAAAGTAACCTTTAAAAATTGTATAAATTTTTTTAAAATATTAAAAGAATGAATAAAATATCTTGCTTGGTTTTTGGAGCAGGCAAAATATTAGATTGCAAGCAACTTATCTTGGCTATGCACAGAGCTCACAGAATTGTTGTAACAGTCCAAGAAAGTAACTTCTTATTTCTTTCCTTTTTTGCCCTCTTGGGTATATAGGCATCTCCTGTATAGATAAGCCTTGAGTCTTACCTGTAGTTCCTTTAAATTTTACCTAATCAAAGAGGACTTCTCTGAAACGCTACATAAAGAAAAAAACAAAAACAAAACATGCCCACCACCTCCACCTCCACTCCCTATTCCCTTACCTGATTTACTTTTCTCCACGGCATTTATTAACCCAAACATATCATGCATTTATTTGATAATCTGGTCTATTGCCTGTCTCCTCCCTTCAGAATGTAAGCTCTATGAAGGTAGGTACGTGCGTTTATCCACTTACCCTTTCCTATTGCTTGAAGCAGTGTTTAATAATTAATTGTTGGATGAATGAATAATTTCCATATTACTTTATTGAAATGTTGCTCCATAGTTAGAATTTTGGGAAATAGAATCTCCATCAGTTTGAAAGTCTAATTGCTCAGGAATTCTGAACCAAGGGTGAGTTATGATTCCCTGGGCATCTAAAATAGTACTATTGAAACAACAAGGTCCTACTGCACGGCACAGGGAACTATATTCAATATTCTGTGATAAAACATAATGGAAAAGAATATGAAAAAGAAAGTATATATATATATATATATATATATATATATATATATATAACACTGATATATATATATATATATATGTATAACTGAATCACTTGGCTATACAGCAGATATTAACACAACATTGTAACTCAACTACACTTCAATAAACTAAATTAAAAATAATAACAGGTCTGGCTGGGCAGCATCCAGATGGCAGCACTTACAAGCTGTTTGGCTTTGGAATAGTCACTTGACATCTCTGTGCCTTGGGTTCCTCATCCATAGCAAGGAGGGATAATAATAGTTCTTATCTCATTAGTCTACTGTGATGATGAAATGAGATTATTCATGTGAACAAAATACTAGAATGGGCCTGACACATGACAAGCATTCAATAAATATTATTTATCATGGAAAAATAAAAAATAAAATAGTATATAAATAAATAAATAAAATAGCCAATAAATATTGGCTACCAGTTGTTGACAGCACAGAAACAAAACAACACAAGCAAAAAACAACAACAAAAAAAACCTCTAAGAGCTTGCCACCAAAAAGGAATTGAATGCTGCCTCGGTGTCTTATTTAGAGTGCATATGTTGGCATCACAGTACCGTATCCTGTTTTATCATCAGGTTTTAGTACTGGCACAACATGTACACTTCACTACAGATGTGTAACTAGTTTAAGGAGTATTTGCTCATACTTTTATTCCAATTTTTTTTCCTTAGGAAGGGCTCAGGTCTTAGCTCTAAGCTGGAAGTATATTGCAGCAATGATCAAATCCAAAAGAGCTGACACCGATGCTTCTTTGTACTTTTTTAATTTCTGAGAGATCACCATGGGAAGTCTGTTTCTTGTTGCAAGTTTATTCTACTGGTTTGAGGGCTACTGGGACTCCTTACCAAGGGGATTTTGGATCATTCTTTGCTTTGATAAGTGGAAGTGACTTTGAGAGAAGCAATTCAGAATATAGCTTTCAGTGATATCACGTATGCGATGACTCACTATAATCATGAAGAAGGAATATGATTCTAACAACCTTGGCCAAGGGTCACCTGAAAAATGTGCTTATTATATCATAACTGAACACTCCATACCCGCCTTGTCCATATGGTATTATACAGATGCACTGTCAAAATATTCTACAGGATTTTGAACCATTTTACTGAATGTTCTGAATGCAGTAGACACTCCTGGGATTCATTGTCTTGTGAATAATTCACATCATTGCACATCACATAAGGGGACTGCTAGAAATTCCCTAAACTCCATATAGTAGATTTTGAGAGTCATACCAGTTCAAGATGAATATTCTTGCAAAACACCCTTTCTGCAGCCTGGTATCTATACACTGGGTTGGGGTATAAATCTGTGCTTAATGTGTTTAAAAAAGTCTACAGGAGCTTTGGACTCCAATGACCTTTCTGGCAAAATGGCATGAAATCACTCACTGCCTAGAGTATTTTGTTTGGTTGACATTACAATGTCAAATTTAGTTCATTTATATGACACCTCTTTAAGATGACATCACAAACCCTACTTTTTCTAAGAAATATCCAAATTGTGAAGTTCGGACAGATGGTACAGCTCTACAACAAAATCAAAACATTCTTACAGGGACGTTGATTCTCTTTGTAAAATTTACATCTCTGAACAAAATCAGATGGCTTTGAATAGAACTGTGCCTTCGAGTTTTTCACAAATCCAAACCACCAAACGTTAGGTGAAAGGAGGACAATGAGTGATTTTATAGTGAATGTGGGAATGCATGAGCTGCCGGATGTACTGGCATTCTTCAACTGGAGATAATTCGTTTGGGAGTTTTTTGCTTCAACATAGAATAAAAACTTTTCAATATATAATCCATGAGGGCAATCTTTTTTTTTTTTTTTATTTTTTACGGTACGCGGGCCTCTCACTGTTGTGGCCTCTCCCGTTGCGGAGCACAGGCTCCGGACGCGCAGGCTCAGCAGCCATGGCTCACGGGCCCAGCCGCTCCGCGGCATGCGGGATCTTCCCGGACTGGGGCACGAACCCGCGTCCCCTGCATCGGCAGGCGGACTCTCAACCACTGTGCCACCAGGGAAGCCCGAGGGCAATCATTTTGATGTACGTTATTTTCAAGTTTCAAAGCAGATGTATTCAATTGCATATTTGTAATTAGTAAATTTATAATGTTGCCCTCTCTCCAATATTTTTAAAAAATCACCTTTTCAACATCAGATGTTATTTTGAGTGGAATTTATGGTCAAAGTATAATAATGCAGTAATAAATAAGGCTTTGCCAATTAGCATATGATAATATTATTTAAAATATCTGGCCCTATATAAGCTTTTGACCCAGCCAACATTTCCCTCTTGCTCTGGAGCTACGCCCACACCTTTTAGCTGTGGTTATACTTTTAACTGGGGAAAACTTCAAGGAAAACGAAAAACTACAAAGTCATGATGTGCTATATGATGCTTTTTCTCAGAATGCTCTTGGGAAAAATTTTGTGCTTAATAATCCATTAGAAATCTGTGGACCTTCTTGAACCACAAAGCATCAGGGATCTCACAATTTCTATCAGAGCCACCACATGATTCTTTTACTAGTCAGAAATGGAGTAGCATATGGGATTTATAGTTCTAGTAGAACCTCCAAGTGAAGTTAGCAGAAACAGAGATGAGAGCTTGGGAAAAGTCTGATCCATACAAAATAATAATCGTTGTCATTTTCTGAACCTTTACAGTGAACCAGGCACTGATCTACGTTCTTCCCATGTAGTAACTTATTTAATCATTGCAACAATTCCAGATAAGAGATAGTATTATCATCTCCATTATGCAATTAGGGAAAAGAGAGCTTAAGCAACTTTCACAGTGTCATACAGCTAGTGACATATATTCAACACAAAGTCATTTTTGATACTGAATTCAGGCAGTTTGGCAACAAGTCCACAGTTTTCACCCCTATCCTACAGCAATCTCCTTAAGAAAACAGGAAGTTAAGAAAATAGTATATAGAGAAAGCAGGATCCAGAATCTGATCACAGAGAATGTCTGCTTTTCAAAGATGGAAGATAGAAGAGAAACTATGAGAGACACTGGAAAAGAATCATATTTGAGAAAACATAGAATATGTAATGTCATGAAAAGTAAGGGATGATAGAGGTATCTGCCACCTTTAACTTCTAAAGAATGTCATGGAACATAAAGAAAATTACAGAATTCTGAACTTGGTGACTTTTGAAAAAACAATTCTAGACCAAGTGTTAGAGGTTGGAAATTAGAGTTGAAGGGGCTGTAAGTGGAAGAACTATGGATTATTTTTCTAAAATATTTAACAAAAGGAGGGAGGATGAGATTGTGTAGACATCTGACAGAGTAGTGGCTTCAAGAGACATTTTTATTTTAGAATAGGAAAAAACAAAGCATTTTCATAAGCACAGAAAACGATACTGAAGATAGGGGGAAAAAGGAATCCAAGAAACAAGTGAGCATATTGATGTAGTAAGCTCCTGTAAGAGACATGAGAGTGAGAACCCAAGTGAATCCAAGAGAACCCTTGGAGAGAAAAAAGAATAGCATAGGATCTTGAGGCTGTCACTACTCAAATTACTTGGATTCTTCTTTTTTAATTATCTAGAACTTTGAAATGCTTTCTCTGATATTCAACTGGTATCTGAAAGAAAGACACCTAGAGACAAGACCACAGCAATCAAGAAAGGAGGATGTATTAATTAGGACTGTTTGGTTGCAAGTAACAGAAACCTATTAACACTAAGTATAATAAGGAGGGATTTATTAATAAGATGCTGGAGTGTCTCATAGCAAAGACTTAGCTGGGCCTCAGGAATTAGTTTAAACCATGGTCTAAATCACTGTGGAAAGTACAGCGTTCTCTCTCTCTCAAACTGTTTCTGCTTCTTATTGTACTTCACTGTAGTTTAACTTTCTTTGCATCTCAGGCAACATAATGGGAAAATGGGCACTGCTAACAGCTTCCAAGGTGACATTTCTGTTATACAAGAGTGCATTCAAACAGACTCATCTGTTTAGACTCCTTCTTATGAGAGCATTCTGATTGGTCCAGCTTATGTCAGATGTCTACCTCTGGACCAATCAGCCGTGGTCAGGTGACAGTGTCATGTTTTATGAACATGCCTCTTGACATTGCAACCTCTGGATGGGTCTGGGGATAGTTCCCAGAAAAACTTACAAGAAAATCTTGGGAGAAGTAAAACAACAGGTTTCTACTAAACAGGACCAATGAGGCAATGTTCTAAGATGTAGGACTAGCGTAGTATCACTCACATTTCTGATATTTTCTGGACTTTCATTTTCTTAAAATAGAAAAATCAGCTTAGCTTGCTTACACACAGGAAGTCATTATGACAACCCAGTTCAGAACTAGGTCATTTTAAGCATAGACTATACGACAAGCAGACTGTACACTAGTATGTTCCATATATAGCTTAGTGTTCAACAAAGCTACTGAAAATGAGAATTAAAATATGTATAAAGATTTGAGTGGTAATAGTGAATGCAATTTTTCCTCTTATTATTATTTTACACATTTTTGTTTCAAACAAAATTCTCATAGATCGGTGACAAACTCAGGGATAATAATTACCAGGCTTTCTCTTCAGCATGTGTTCTGCCTCTATTGCTGTTATTTCAGAAACAGTGGTGAATACATGAGCACAATGGACTGAGGCACGCTCCATGCAATACCGGTGATAAATCTGCCTTTCCCCAGCCTCTTTGTCTATGTTAAACTGTGAACACAAAACAAAACACATGCACATACACATTTGCTTACACCAATCCTTCTACACGAGCAAAACAAAATCACATATTTCTCATATTGTTTTTCTTCAAGGCTGTGTGAAATTTTATGACCACAAAAGAAATAATGATAAATTTCTGTTAAGCCCATTACTAAAGCACATAGCTACTTATGCTTACAAAAAGTGCTGTTTAGTTCATCTGTGCTTCTAAACTGTCATTTAACCCCCTATGTAAATGATATTTCCCCTTTGCTATAATCATAGAGAATTCTTGATTTTTTTGGCATTTTAATTATCCTTTTACTTATTTTATAAATGTTGAGCTAATTCCTTTCCCCAAGGTCTTTATCGTATTTTTTCCATAAGCAATGAAACAAAGCTGACATTAAACTTGATACTGAAAGTAAGGATAAGTATTATCCTTCCAATTCACTAAAGGAAAGAAACCTGACAAAGAGAAAAGACAAATGCTTTTCCATGCTATATAACTCCCAACACTGTGAAACTTCAAGGAGTGTACAGTTACTTTAATTAGATGGTGTGTTAGATTGTGTAATCATCCATTATTCTGAGTATCTTAACTTAAAAAAAAAAGCCAACCCCCCGACAGTTACTTAACACAGTTAACAACCATTGCGGGCTTTTGCCATTTTGCTTAGTTACTGAATGTTATGTCTCTATAGCTGCATATGAAACTAGCAGTGTCTAAGACAACAAAGTATATAAAGTTTCTGGCATTGTATTAGTAGGGTGCTTTTTGTAATAAAGATTATTAGAAGCTCAAGTCTATGTATCAGACACTTCTAAGAGCGATATCATATTTAATCCTCATAAACCAGAGACACATTTTTTGTCTTCATCTTACGTAGGGGGAAATTGAAACTTTTAGGGGTTAAGAAACTGGCCCAAGGTCACATTCCTATTAAGTATCTTAGCAGAGTCCTAAATTGATCCCAAATCAGTTTGACTCCACACCTGGGCTCCTGCCTGCTTTTGTATCAAGTAGATTCCAGCTCAATCAACATGGCAATCCCAATAACGACTGCACCATATAGAGGAATGTACTAAAAGAGACTCATTAGATGATTCTAGAGATTACAACAGGGACATTCCTAGAGCATTCTTTCTTGACTGTAATATTTGCAACCATCTCTCTGAAAATGTCTGAATCAAGGCTCTGTATGGCATGCTTAGATCAGCTCTATATGGCTGGTCTCATTCATTCAACCAAATCTCTCATTCAGCCTACATTTGTTTAGTAATTTACATACTTTTGTTGCTTTCAAAGAGCTTATGAATGAGAAAGCAGGTAAAAATTGGGCAGAAATGAGTAAGTGTCTGAGTAAGGTGCAGGATCAGAGAGGGTCTGATTCATCCTGGCTGAGGAGAGAGAAAAGTATCTCATATTTATGCAATTGTTCATATTGTCAGTATCACCTCTAGAATGTACGATTTTCAAGGGCAAGGAACATGACTTATTAATCTTTGTATTTCTAAGTTGATTAGATAAATAAAATGACATTTGGACTGAGGCATGAAAGTTTAATTTGGGGAAAGGTTATTTTGGACTGAAAAATTTAGTTGCCCCAAAGAATAATTATATAAAGTCAAACTGTATGTGCAGAAAATAGCAGGACATCTGATGTGACTATAGCATTGGGTGTAGAATGTAGGACACGTAATAGAGAGACATCCTGGTAATAGGACCAGATCCCAGAAGTCCCTGAAGACAAGGCTAGAAATTCAGCCTTTGTCCTGAATACAATGGCAAGCACTGAAAGGGCTCAGTTAGAGGTATGGTAAAGACATAGGCTATGTTTGAGAAAATAACTCTGGAATGAAATGTTTCCTATTTCATTAAGTTTTGGGAAAATTAAATGAGTTAACACATATCAAATGTTTAGAAAAGTGTCTGGCATGTGGAAAGAGCTCAATAATTTCAGCTATTGTTATTATTTAGTAGTAGTGTTGTTGTTATTGTAGAGAATAGTAAGATTTCACATAGGGGTAGCACTTAACATTTGAATACTATTTAGAGGTGAGAAGATAGGATTCCTAAATGAGGAAACCAAGTATGCAAAAATACAGGGAGAGGATAGCAGAGGCCTTGCGATCCCCTATAATTGAACTTGACCAGCTCAAAACTTGGTCAGAGGAAAGAGTTAAAATCCACCAAACAATTGTCTATGGCTTTCTTCACCATTTTCTAATCCCAAACAGCCCTGTCCTCACTTTCCCATCTAGGAAATCCCATTGCTATCAAGAAAAGAGAGGCCTAAACATAAGAAAACTGATGCCCATCCCCTTTTTATTTAAAGCATTAGGTATCTAGTCATTATCATTGAGGAGATGATTGACCAATGGCAGGACCGATAAAAATGAATTTGAAACATCTTCATGGAGAGTCTCAGAATATTCATATGCTGGCTGAAAATAGTTGCAATGCTATTTTAACTAATACATTTAAGCCAAAACATAAACAAACATCAAGGTCCTTATGAATCGGCTATTAACCAAAAATGTTTTCAGTTAATGTCTTTGAGTAAAATAGTTCTAATCTTTCTGCTTTTATCAAAGGTAAATGCTTTTATCCTTGTTCTCATTTTCCCCCCGATGTCTACTTGCCTGAGTCAGAGCTCACTGAAACTGACTGTGGATCCTGTACCAAAGACTAATTTATGACACATTTCTTATGTTGAACTTTTAAAAACTTTTCATATATATAATTTGGTGTTTTGCTGTTTCACTGAATTTCTAAACCTACTGTGAGCATTGGAAGGTCTGCTGTAGAAATTGATATGGGGGCCTTTCCTGTGAATAATGATTATGAGTTGTTGTTGTTTTTTTTCTCGGTACGCAGGCCTCCCACTGCTGTGGCCTCTCCCGTTGCAGAGCACAGGCTCCGGAGGCGCAGGCTCAGCGGCCATGGCTCACGGGCCCAGCCGCTGCGCGGCATGTGGGATCTTCCCAGATTGGGGCACGAACCCGTGTCCCCTGCATCGGCAGGCGGACTCTCAACCACTGCGCCACCAGGGAAGCCCTGATTATGAGTTTTAAACTTAAAACCTAGTTCTTAATTACTTGTTATTTATTTACTAGTCACTCTGCTGAGCAGGACTTTTTACTAGAGAGATGGTCTGGGGTCTGGCTAAGCTTCCATATTTCAACAAGTGAGGGGTTTAAGCTAGGGAGATATATAATCATATTTGAAAACAGTGTGATATAAACACTGGCCTTTCACTGAACAGATACAGTTATAATATATAACTATATATTATAATGGTTTTGTTCCTTAAAAACGATTAATAAAATCTGACGAATATTATTAGTTGTTTTTTTTCTTTCTTTCTTTCTTTTTTTTTTTTTTGCAGTACGCGGGCCTCTCACTGTTGTGGCCTCTCCCGCCGCGGAGCACAGGCTCCGGACGCGCGGGCTCAGCGGCCACGGCTCACGGGCCCAGCCGCTCCGCGGCACGTGGGATCCTCCCGGACCGGGGCACGAACCCGTGTCTCCTGCATCGGCAGGCGGACTCGCAACCACTGCGCCACCAGGGAAACCCATTAGTTGTTTTCATTAATTGTTTATCCAATGCTCTTAAGTATTCTGCCGTGAAATATTTGTTATGCATCTGTAATATTTTCTCTTTCACAAAAGTCAAAGTCTGCTTTTCTCCAGGAAACGTGGTGGTTGAGTTTATCACAGATCACTGGTTTGCCCTCATTAGTCTACCATTAGGAAATCTCCCTGATCTCCTGACTTTTTGAATTCCTTGGTGACTTTATTTTAAATATACATCTAATGTTTACAATTTGACCTTCAGGTTTAGCTGACCTTTTTATAGGCAAGCTCTCCTTAGGACCATCCATTGCTTTGCAAATGTTAAAGTTTGTCTGAAAGAACTTTCCTGTGCTCAGAATGTCTCTGAGATGATAGTATAATTTTCTGCCCTCATTATCTGAGTAGTTTTATTCATATGTTACAAACACACACAAACATACACACACTCACACAAGCATGCATTCTGTTTCATAGAATTCTAGAACTTTTTTAAACTGGGGGAGTCTTTAGAAATCAACTTTCCAACTTCCTAATGTTCCTGATAGTGGAACAGAACCCTAAAATACTAAATTGACTTAATTGGCAACATAGATACCAAATCTGCAAAACTCCTGACTTTATGTTATTCGAATGCTTGATCACTATTACTGACAGGATGATGTGAGAAACATACTTTTATTAATCTGATTGAACTGATGAAAAATAGAAGAAAGAAGTCAAAACTGAATGACTTTGGGTCATAGAATAAGGCAGTCTTCTAAGATAGGCAAACCCAACTGTTTAGTCACCAAGGATCCACATCCCTGCTTTTTCTTTTCTTCAGAGATATATTTCTTACTCGTAGATCTTTTCATTCATCTTTTTTTCATTATCTTGTACTAATTTCATCTTAATAGTCTCCGAATTTATTTTGTTTCATTTATTCTTTTATTTTCTTTTTTAAAATTTTTTAAAAATTAATTTATTTTTGGCTGTGTTGGGTCTTCGCTGCTGCGCGCGAGCTTTCTCTAGTTGCGGCAAGCGGGGGCTACTCTTCGTTGCGGTGTGCGGGCTTCTCATTGCGGTGGCTTCTCTTGTTGCGGAGCATGGGCTCTAGGCCAGCGGGCTTCAGTAGTTGTAGCATGCAGGCTCAGTAGTTGTGGCTCGCGGGCTCTAGAGCGCAGGCTCAGTAGTTGTGGTGCACGGGCTTAGTTGCTCCGCGGCATGAGAGATTTTCCCAGACCAGGGCTCGAACCCATGACCCCTGCATTGGCAGGCGGATTCTTAACCACGGCGCCACCAAGGAAGCTCCACATCAGTGTCTGACTCCCACCAGATCCCTTTGGACCTTGGGTCTATTGCTCCAAAGTGGACAGCCATCTGGCCTCTCCCTGCTACACTCTACTGCACTCTGAACAAAGTTAAACTATATGAGCTCTCAGTCACTCAGGGGAGGCTTTGTCATGAATACTGATTGGTTAAAAGGGCATTTCTGCCATCTGGATGACAGATGAAAGACGAAGGTCAATATTTCCCATCCTTCAGCTTCAAGGATCAGAAAGAAAGGTGATGAGGGGGGAAGGTGGAAGGACTAATTACCTTATCAAGATGGTTGTAGAAATCGATGTTTGCTGCACAGAGATGCCTCCCAAGCAGTGTGGCGTGAGTGGTAAAGACTGTAGCAATCGGAAGTTTCCGAGCTCGAGAAAGAATCAGTCCAGTCCCAGCCTGCCATTCATGGAATTGGACAATGACGTGTTTCCCATCGGCATGATCTGTCACCTACACCAAAAAAGAAGCTTTTAGAAAAGTTGGGGGTGTAGTTTGATCTTGCTTGTGGCCCACAGCATAAGGAAAGTTATCATGCCTGTAAATTTTAGCACAATTTAAAGGGATCTAAAGATAAAGCAGGCAGATTTAGCAAATATAACGGTTTTATAGAATTTAGCTGCATGTTCATAAAGCCCATATATGTTTACGGCATAATCCTCTCTTTCAATATGGATCAAATTTATTTTTGTATCCACAGAGGGGACTCCTGAATAAATGCACAGTAGGCACTCAATAACTATTCATTAAATGGATGAATGAATAATAGCAATATTATCCTTGAAGATTCACTGAGCTGCTGAATTAGTTGGGACCGGCCACTTACAAGCTTCTATATAATAAACAATAAATGATTTCATGTTTTAAGTCAGTTTCATTTGGACTTTCTGTTCCTTGAATCCAAAAACATTTTAAATGATATACTATTATTTTAAGAATTTGAAACTAGGGAAAG